GGTGTTATAGTGCCTAATGCAATCTAACAAATACATAATCTATCTTTATATGACAGCTGGCATATATGGAGTTACATAACAGATGGCAACAACTACTATAACTGGGAGATGGCCGTGTCCTCGAGGAAAAATCGAAGTCCATAACAGGTCCATTTTTCTCGCTTGAAGCACAAATCTCATCACCCCTGACTGAGACATTATCCTTTCCTCACTTCAATACTGTGACACGTGCCAGATATCCTCGTTGCAGCACAACTTAATCCATGACTCACTGAATGTGCACGATAAAGCACTGTCTTCCAACTTCCTCATCAAAAACCTTCAGTAGGTCTTTAGTTAATATAGAGATCAATCAAAGCTGGATTGTAATGGTTTCTTCTGGCCATTTGTGATGGGGATTACTTTTTTTTACTTCCTTCAATAGCTCTGGAAACTCAGCGATGTGATAAAATTATGCTGTATATCATTAGAAATTAATGATTTCCAAAATATATTGGATCATGACTTATGCTTGTCAAATGTTGTTAGTTAGGGAGTGTATGAAAGGTATTAGGGGTGGAGGTGGTGGCGGGGATTAATATTTTATTTCAGCCTTTCCCTGTGAGATTTTAAAAATGATCCTGTCTTTGTATCTGCACTTTATTTTCTCATCAAAATCATCAACTAGTAGAGCAAACATGTCATAAATGTGGGCCTTTATTGATGGTTGAACAACAGATTGCTTCATTTTATCACTCTAGCCACTCCCCATCTTTGTTTTATTGTGCATTATAACAGGTACCAGAATTACAGTTGTGTAAAATGTGTCATATAACGTCAACCCATATTATATTTCATGTTCAGCATCGCGTGAAGCCAACTAATGGGTTAAACATGCTGACAGTGGCAGTTTGGAATGTCAGTATGATAAGTGTCAATATGCTGTTGGTCCTCAGCCCATAATTAACGTGTGTATTAATATTAACACTTATTGTATTATATGCAAAACTCTTATTGTGATTGAGATCTTAGTCTTTTGTTTCATCATCCTGAAATATATGCATTTTAAGCAGAGTATACCATAAGAAGATTGCATTATAATTATGACACTTTGCTATCTTTTATATTGGAATGTGGTTATTGTCCATAACTCAGCATCGCGCATGAAACATAAAAAAATTGATTGTCCAATATTTCTCCTAATTACAACAGCTGTGATCAATTTTTCGGTTGTTGTTGTGTCCAATTACTTCCCTGACCAAATCCCCACAGTCCTCTTGCACTGGAGCTGATGCTCAGCAAACGAGCCACTGCCTAATATTGTCTGGAACATTTATCTACGATGTACAGGCCCACTGTGGTGTAAACATATTTAATACCAACTCATTAGCAACATCTAATCTCACATTTACCCCGATAATTTGATCTTGAATGATAATCAAATAAATTGTGCTTTCATGCATGTTCCAGTGTAAGATATAATTTAAAGGATCCAGTTAATACATCTCCCCTTCCTGATTCTCATGCTCTACCTGTAAGTGACTCAGAGTGTGTGCACTGTGGTCTAATACTCTGCTCTTATAGAAAAACATATTTATCATTCTTGAACCATGCAGCGAATAATTGACCAATTATTCAGCAAAAGGAAGTGCAGATTCTGCATAATGTCAGGTTTCTAAAATGCAGTCAATTGATGTAGCAGGATAAGCTATCTATTTGTGTAAGTTGTGACATGCCTTCGTTACTTGTGATTTAATATCTAAAATAATTGCCCAGGTGTTGTCTTTTGCAGTTAACTTCAGTGGCACGGCCAAAAAGTGATTTCCTATGGTGCAACAAAGAAGATGAAAAGTGATTATGCAAGGCAGTGGTGAATAGCATATGATGATGTATGATCCAAACAAATCTACCTCTGGCTCTAAGACAACAGCATATAGGCGACTGGTATCCTGATGCAATTAATCTCCATAATCTTGGCCAATTCAATAAGAGTGTTAATATAGAAAAGAGAAAGACCTGTTTACACACAGGTGCTGTTTGTAATGTTGATTACTTGCTTTGTTATTACTTTGAAGGTGTCATCAAAGTTTGCCTCAAGATGTATTAGCTCTTTTCCCATGATAAGCTAGTTCTTGATCCGAGTCAGAGTAATGAGACGCAAGAAAATAGCATATAGTGAGAATGCATGCACGCAGGAATGCTAAAGATAATCCCTGCCCACACGCTTGTGTTAACATACAAACACAATCACAGCCTTGTGTTACTATCTTTGTGGGGACCTGTTCTTGTCATAATGCATTCCCCAGTCCCTTATCCAAACGATCACAACTACATGCCTAACTTTAACCCTTACCCTAATCTTAACCTAATTGAAACTTGAACCCTAAAGTCTTGACCCTCAAACAGCCCTTTAAAGTTGTTGGGCCGGGCATTTTGGTCCCCAAAAGCATAGTGAAATTCCAGTTTTTGGACCCACAAATAAAGGAAAACAAGCCCTCACACACTATCCCATCCTAAAAGTAGTGGACAAAGAGATGTTTTCCAATTCAATTTGTTGAGCTCATCCTTTGATGAGAGTCTTGCCTATTTCATCGATCTCATGTTATCTCAAATTGGGAAGCCCTCTAGTCCAATAATGACAGACAGGGAAAAGTCTCTTCAAGTTCTGTTGGGTATACCTTCCCAAAAAAATAGAAGAAAAGAAATAAATTGGACTACAAAGTATATAAGTCAGTGCTAACACTCATTAAGTATGTCATTATGCTAATAAATCCAATTATCTCTCAGCTGCAGCATGCATGCATCCATGAAAAATTAAATTTCACACTATAGTTCACCCCACTTGAAGGTTTTCATGTTGTATTGTTTTACAACGTTGAATCAAAGTAGATTTAAAATGGCTTTTTTGACACTGATCAACAGAAAAAGACTTAAATGTGTGCGAAAAAAAGATCTAAATACACTGCAAATATAAAATACACCTGAATCATCCCCGATGAAGCCATTTGGTTTTAGAAGTCACATAATTAGTGAAATGGAGATCACCTGCATGTAGTTGAGTGGTTTCACTTAATTGTAGTGTAAATACACCAGTCTATGAAAAGTTGAGTTTTTAAAGCCAAAACTGCACAGATGTGTTTACGTTCTGGAGGGAGTGAGACACAGCTCAATCCAATTGAGAGTTGTGTTCACTCATGATCCCTGTGCAGCAGTTTCATAGAGAAGAATGGGGGGAAATTGCAGTGCCCAGATGTGCTGTATTTACTACCAACGGTGCAACTACTAAATACTGTCTTGGAGAAGGTGAAATATGTATTTTAAATTTGTGATTAATTTAGATCCCCTTGTTTACTTATTCTGTTGATCAGAATCAAAAAAGCCACATTAAATCTACTTTCAATGTTGTGAGTCAGTAAAACATCAGACCTGGGGGGGGGGGGGGGACACTGTATAGGCTATAGGCACTGCAGCAATTCTGACTTTTTTGAGGGTAAAGCTTTTTCATTTAACATACCCCCAAAATGGCAACAGACTGATCTGTAGAGCATGTGTATGAGAGGAATTACAATCAAGCTGTCATTACCTTGAGGCCAGTTGTACCGGTAATTGTGAGAGGATGACAACAGGTTGGCCAGCGTTAAGGCTCATCTTCCTCCGGCTAGTTCAGCACCTGCCTGCTGGCCACCAGCCTAATTCTTTTCTGACAGCCTCAGCAGGAATGATTGATGCCCGAAGGCTTGCGATGGTGTGTGTTTGTGTGTCGCAGTACTGAGATGCTTTATTCATACAATACTCCACTCTTGAAACTCATTTAGACCACACCTGTCATTGCTTGACGTTTTCCTTTATAGGCTTACTGTGGACACACACTCTTTTGAGATAAGCGGGTACTGTGAGGTGCTGATAATATTTTGGAAATTGTAATCACCTTTGGGGAATTTCTGGGGTAATGTAGGTTAAGGAATGTGTACATCTACATTGTTTAGCTGATGCTGCACAATGCTTGTGGCTGACAACAGGTTTATTAGGAAAATATCCTGTTGGCATCATTAGTTGACAGGAAGCTCCTTGTTTACAGTGTTTCAGAAATAGCGCCCACCCATCAGGTTTTTTGTTGTTGTTGGTAAAAGAGTAATATTCCCACGGCCCTCTCACCTTCACTTTGTCCAGTCCTTACTCACACATATCATGAGACCACCAATATGTTAACACTTAGCTTTTTCTCTATTGTTTGGAGTCCATAATCTCAGTATTTACAATGACCTGAATGCATTGCAATATACTGAACTCTTTATCCTGTTTTTACGCCACACACACACGCACACACACACACACACACACACACACACACACACACACACACACACACACACACACACACACACACACACACAGAGCTCTTTTAGCTCCAAAGAATTTTAAACCTCCCAATGTCCTGATACTATTGCATTTTTCATTGGTATTTTAAGCAAAGAGTTGTGAGGTCTTAGAAGTCAGCTAGCATTAATTCCTCTGAGGCAGAGGGATTCAACTTCTCCCTGGAAAGAAGCTTAAAAGAAAGTTCTCCTGCTTTCAAATGACTAAATTTCTCCTTTCTCACATATTTATTTATATTCCTTAGTGGACGGGAGAACAATAGATAATTGAATGTGAATATAGTTTGTTCTGTTTAATGTCCAACAATTAATTGAATAAAATATCTCACTGATATTTTTTGTTATTCCTTATGCAAAGTATAAATTAATTAGATTATCCAGCACAGTTGACTAATTGTCTCATTGTTTTCCTTGGTTATGGGCAATGGACTGTTAGGGGTGCAGGTGTATACATAATACATCAAGGTAAGAAGAAATACAAGGAAACTGAGATCATTAATGCTGCTTTGTGGAAAAAACATGAAATTTATTGTATTTTTCTTCCATGACCGAATATCACACAAGAAAAGATCAACAAGAAAGACTTTTGCATTGAATCAGACAAGAAGCATAAATTAAATGATATATTCCTAATGTGCTGTACAGTTAAGGTTGTATCAGGTTACATTAAATTAACTTCTCCATTCGCATCACATTCATTCTGGCCAGTTTGGAGAACCAGCGATTAGTGTGTGTGTTACTATGGGACGCAGTTTGAACAAAACCAAACTTTTGGCTCAGGGATATAGCTGCCGTCTGTGGTGAGCTGACTTCCAGAGCGAGGCGGCTGTAGCCTTGCTGTTTGCAGAAATCAAGGGCCTTCCTTGTCAACTGTGAACCCAGGTTTTTGCGCCGCCATGGAAACACCACAACCATGAGGGACATCTCGCCGTAACTCCCATCCACAGCGTCTTGGGCAAACTCTGAGCCTTCTCCCAGCACTCCTCCATTGCAGTCATCAAACCTCTCACCTTCCTCCCCTCCCCTTTTCCCCGTCACTGCTACCATCCCCACAACCTTGGACTGGCTGTTGACGTCTGCCTCTGCCACCCAGAAACCATTATCTGGGTTTTCCAGGTAGTTGGATTGAATGTCAGCCATGTCTGTGCTCAGACGCCTCGTCATGTAGCCTTCATAGATCTCGTGGCAGCAGTAATAAATGAGGCCAGCCCATGCACTCCCAAAGAGTAAAGCTTGGAAGTAGGAGCTGCCTCCCAGCACATAACCAGCCATGGAAATGCTCAGAGCAATGCCAACATGGTCTGGATGGCTCATGGCCTTAAAGAAAGCTGGGTATACATGTTCAAGTATCCCATCGCGAAAGAGTGACATGACCATATGTTGATCTGAGGGTCTATATTCCCTGATGGAGAACTCAACTGTATGTTAAAGAGGGAGAGAAAGAAAGAGGGAGGGAGGAAGGGAGAGAATGAGAGCTCAGTGAGACTAATCTGTCTGTTGTTGCAATAAGAAATTCCTGCTGGATTTCACAATGGGATCAATAGGCTCACGTAACATCATGTTGCAAAAAAAAAAAAAGAATCAATACAACTCTTATGGAATCTCACCCTTTTCATTTCTAATTTAACTCTTTTTCACATGAATGTAAAACCTGCCATTTGTGTATGACAACCTGGGGTGAAAATTACAATTAAAATGATTTTAGCATTGCTCCTCTTTAAGATTTCAATAGTCATCCTGAGATCCATTACAATTAGGTCTCAAAAGAGTCAACGATGAAAATAAAAGCAAGGTGAGACTTCCGAGGCAACAAACAAAAGGTCTTAAGCTTCGGTGAAATGTATTGTGTGTCATCTAGGCATGTTAGTTGTGCCATTCATTTACACCCTAGCTGTCTTATTAGTGCTCTTGTTCGTAATCAACTCGAGTACTTGAAAAAGGTATAAAAGATTAATATAATCAGAACATCAACTTACAGTTATTTTTCTGGGCCATGCCGACTCTTTCCCCTCGTCTTTCACTCACTCTGAAGGACTTAACACTCCTGCTCCCCCTGAACTTAAGCTACAGATTGTGATAATCAGCCATTCACAAAAGGGATTGAAATTAGTCTGGGCATGCTCACCTATGAGTACACACCACACACGCACACACACAGAAAAAACTTGCAGACCTTAAATGACTTTGAAGTAAAACTGCTCCTGATTGTATAAAGTATTGATTATATAAAATTTTTTACAGTTAGATCAAAATGACGGTGATTTGAGGAAGCAAGCATTAAGTTTAATTGAAATTAATCACAGTGATGCTTTGATTAGGAAACGCAGAGTATATTAAAAAAAAAAAACTTAATTAGCTTAGTCAACAGAGTAAAGAACTCTATCATTGGATTCTCAAGGAGCTTGAACACAGATCCGGAATATATTAAGTCAGAATACTGAGCAGAATGTGAATTCAGAGCCCGTTCGAGCACTTCATAGATATTTTCCAAGAATAAAATGTTCATATTAACCTCTTTTTGGGTGCTTGAGTTTCTGTGGTGTTCTCTGAGGAATCTGCTCTCTACACCGCTTCTTCCCCAGAATATAAGGTGAAAGTAAAATTAATATTGTCTAGCCCCCTGACATAAAAGTGTCCTATGGCGTTGCTGACACTGTCTTGTGCAATAACCCAGTGGCCCTCTGACATGATTAAATTTCCTTGGCAGGAAAGGGCCTTTACACCTGTTTAAATCAATAGCGCTGCCTCATGAATCTGTGAGTGTTAGAAGGTCAAGCAACTCTGGAACTTTCCCAAACCATTTCACAACCACCATGTGAATTCTGAATTCTGTACCCTGCAAGTGACCCACATTTGGTATATTGTTTCTTCTGTCTACATAGAGTGGGCAGTATGATAACAAAACCATAAACCTGTAAACCTGGGTCACCTGTAAAAGGACTTACTAGTAGAGATGGGCGATACCAAACTTTTGTGTTTCAATATGATAACCATACTTTTTGTTTGATTAATTTAAAAAAACAATACCAATACTGATCATTTCTTAAATTTTAATACATTTTTCAAAATAATGGTATTTTTACAAAACATATTTCACACATTTATTACAAAAGAAAATATGAGTACAATTAAATAAAAATGTCTGTGCTAATAAGTATACAAGCAGTCAAGTAATTCACTGAAATACTATGATTAAATTAAATAAAAAAAAATTACAAATATGAATAAATAAACGTGGCATGATTGTTTTAGAGCAACTTACCCTATATGTGGCATTTTCTTGTCACATATATAGTGACAACAGTGTTGGGAAAGTTACTCAGAAATTGTAATAACTTACTTTTTTACTAATTTCTCTTTTAAAAAGTAATAATATTACTTTAGTAATTAGTGCGTATTAAAAGTACCTTGTTACATTTCTTGTTTCGTTACTATATTACTTTCACAACCCCTCCGCCCCCCATCCTAAAAACTGAAGGACAACCTGGCAAGTTTGACTAATAGCATATTCATTACAGCAGAAGAAGGAGCATATGTCATATAACGTTAAGTCACTGGCTGAAATAAAAAAATATTGTAAGTAAGTTCCGACTTTTGAACTACTGTTTTTCTGCATATTTATAAGAGCAGTAGGCATTCAGTGTTTTTACAAAACATAAAACGTTGCTTACTGCCACTTTCTCTCGATGAGTGCATGCATCACTGGCAGTTTGGAGTTTCTTTCTATAAGCTTCACTTTTTTTAATTAATTGCTGTGCTGCTTTAGCAGATGCTTCAGTAAATTAGATGTAGAATTGTTCAAGTTGGAAGCTTTTTGCACAGTCACGCATTGACGTCAAGGATGGTGAGCTCTGGTAACGCAGCATTACTTGGATTAGTAACTGAATACAGAATTGGGTCACCTGTCAGAGGACTCATTAGTGACATAAATGCAGTAACGCGTCACTGCCCAACACTTGAAATGGTGCATATTGCTGTATTTTTGAAAAGTAGTGACACCATGCATCATACTTTCTGCCTTTCTCTGCGACTGTACACAGCAGTTTGACGCTTTTTTTTGTTTTCTCATTGCTTCATCCGAATGCATGCCATTAGGATGTTTGCTTTTGATACTATGTATGTTGACAGTTTGAAATAAAGATTTAAAAAAGGGTTGCACGCTTGGTTCTCATGTCACATAGGTTTCCAGTCATGTGACATGGGCCAGCTAAATATGTCAGTGCTGTTCATTGGCACAAACATTACACTAAAGTACTGAAAATGTTTAGAATTGATGCAATCACCCATGTTTTAATGTTATAATAGCAGAGCCTGATATGCACTGCAGGGCCTAATGACAAGTCAAAACATAATTTACAATTAACACTGGGCTTCTATAAGATATAACCATGTACGGTATATCAGTAAAGTAACTTGATGAAGCCAGTGAAGTTACTTCTGAGGTAATACAGTCATGTCAAAGCCATTTTGTCACGTCATGATCACTTTGAACAATTGTTACCACAAAGTTCTAAAAAACAAACTAATTAAATAAAATTAAAGCACAAGCTGTGCATTAATCAAGTCATATTTGAACCTCGTGAATGTGTCATGGTATGAATTGCTTTAGTACATAATACTTCATTAGCACAGGCAAAACTAATTTCACTTAATAAAATTAGCTAAGTGCTTCAGAGTTGATTGCACATTGTCTTCAAACAAAAAAGAAATAAAGGTTAAAGTTGCCGTGGAAACTAACCACTGTAGGCAAACTACATGCTCCACTTCAAAAAGGGAACATGAGTGCCCAATGGATTGCATTTTTATTCATGGACATGTACTTGCACAAGGATTGTGAGGCAAAGAGCCTGTTCGGTACGCTTGTCATAGAGCTCCGACATTAAGGGATTAAACCATTACATTATTGAGTTTTTCCCAGCATATCCAGTGGCTAGCCATCATTTGAATACACCTCAGACAACTTTATTTCCAACCCACTGCCTCTTCAGAAACTTTCAATTGAATGTGACTTTCCTATGCCTCAAAAATGCACATATACAGAGCTAAAACACTACCCAGATATTTCCATTTAGTTCCAGACATCTTTCATTATTATAGTAATGCATTAGCTTTTGTGTAGAATATATGTTTGGTAATGCTTCAGCATTTATGATGTGGTAATGTCTGAAATTGCCTCTGTCAAAATAAAACATGGATACTGACTTGGACTTGCAGTACATGAGAGTGGAAGCTTATTCAATCTTATGCACCAGTGACACCGTCTCTCCACGCAGGACTTATATTTGGGAAACACAACAGAAACACTATGCAACACAACTCTGATAAGGTAAATATTTGCATCAATAAAGAATCTTGATGTTGACTCACTTTGGATCTCTGTTTGAGTCAATAGGACAACACACTACATTTACTTTTATACGATTTATGTCCCACTCCCACTGTATATAACCATCAAATGAGAGCCATTCTTTTGTCCAGAAGAATGTGTCTCTACTCAAATTTCAAAAAGAATGATATCTTCTGTGATCCAAAGGGAGGTCGGGAATGTAAATCAACTAATAAATTATGATATATTATTACAGGTTCAGCTACCCAGCAGTAAGTAATTAGAAATAGCCCCACCCTCCAGATGCAACATTAATGCATCACTAATTATAATCCCTTAATAAAATGTTATCACTAATGGAGGCCAGTTTGACGATAGGGAATACAGCCCCGAGGTGAGTTACAGCTCCGACCAGGACTCTGTCTCCGAGGACCAAGATGCCGCAGGTTCAGGCGGGGACAGGAAAGGAATCAAACAGGAGAGGAGCAAGGTTAGGGATCAGAGTGGCAGCCACAACGTGTAGAGCCAGAATATTTTCACATCTAATACAGCGATTTCAGTGTTTATTTCCACAAAACCAGTCTTGGTGATTGTTGGAACAGTTGACAGACTATTTACAATGGTTTTGATGAGTTTTATTTTCTTTCTGTAAAGTTTGAATGAAGTGTATCTCAAATTCATAAGGTGTACAAGGGTATTTTTCTGTTGTATAAGAAAAATATGTGTATGAATATTTCAGTTTTTAACATTTTGTGAGTTTATTTTGTTTATTTACAAGACTAAAAAAGTTAAGAGAGATTGCGTAACGTAGCAAAGTCGCTGCCCTGGTACATCTCCCATCTGAACTACAGGGAAAGCTATTCTTTTCGACTATCAGCACTTACTAAATGTTGACAAAAAATTTTAAAAATGTAGATACTGAGTGTATTTTCTTTTTCTAAAGTATCCATTCATTGCAAGTAAAGTATGGTTAAACCTTTGCTATTGCTAAACTATGACTTTTTTTAGACACTTGCTATTGGTTAAATAAAAAGTTTGACATTTTGAATTTTTCTTACCAAGAGTTCAACAAGTCGTCTAGCCTAAGCGACAACCTCCAAATACGACTCATATAAGCATATCATACAATAGTGCCCCTACCGGTGGCGTGCCTCCCTAAATGGCATTTTCAAACCCTAAATTGGAAATCACGTGACCTAAATCACATGACATATATACGTGGAGACAGCAGCAACAGAAAGGAGTTAAACCATAATCTGCATAGCTGTTGGGTTCAGTGGTCGCCACTGACTCAGGTTTAGGCACACACCCCTGTGAGGGTTAGGGTAAGGGGCTACGGGGGTCTGTCAACACCTTTAAGACTATTATAGTTAGATAGCTAGCTAACGTAGCTAACGCTAACACTATGGAGCTAATGAAGCTAATGCTACTATGTAACTTTATTAAAAAAACAAATCAGTGGTGTTTCACGTGGGAACCGAGTGCTGGTCTCCTGCGTGAAAAGCGCCCAATTTACCATCTGTCAACCCTACCCACCACCACCAGCACCAGAAACAATTCTTATGTGAGTCAGCAGCTAGTTACAGCTGGTGTGGCTCTGCAAAATGGAACAAAATTCACAGACCAGCACATAAGATTGTGGACTTGTTAGGTTAGTGGTTAGTTAGTA